ATTAGGGCCCAGTACAGGCCACATGATCTCCTGCAATGATTTTGCAAAGTTTTTTGCAGACAAAGTCGCTCAGATTCGAGAAGAAGTAGACTCCACCATGGGAAGCAGGGCGGGAGAGTGCTAGAGTCCTGTCTAGTCAAGTTGTGTGGGATCAATTACAATCTGTTACGCCCGAGGATGTGGACAGGCTGCTTGGACGAATGAAACCAACCACTTGTCTCCTTGATCCTGGCTTATAAAAGTGAGCCGAGAAGGGCTGGGCGATGGGCTTCGTGGGGTGGTGAATGCTTCCCTCTGTGAGGGAGCCTTCCCAGACCCATCTTTAGATGTGGCCACGATGGCAAACTATCGCCCAGTCTCAAATCCTCCATTCTTGGGGCAAGGTGACTGAGCGAGTGATTGCTGAACAACTCCAGGGAACCAGCCAGACGGCCTTCTCAGTAGTGGCGCCCTCCCTGTGGAATGCCCTCCCACCAGATGTCAAAGAGAACAACAACTACCAGACTTTTAGAAGACCTCTGAAGGCAGCCCTGTTTAGGGAAGCTTTTAATTTTTGATGTATTAGTATTTTAATATTTTATTTGAAGCCTCCTAGAGTGGCTGGGGAAGCCCAGCCAGATGGGTGGGGTATAAATAATAAATAATAATAATAATTATCATTTTATTTTCTTACTCCTGTAGTAACCTATGTTATCCATCATTTGAGAACCACGATATTCTTCTCCCTTTGCTCGTCTTTCATTTTTTATCACAGTCTTTAACTCTAATACTTTGAAGGAGCGAGGTTTTAATTTCATGAAGTGAGGCAGCTCATCCTCTATTAACAGTCGTAGCTGAGATAGGAAGACCATGTTGAGGGTCTGGAGAGAGTGTTCAGACGGGACTTAATCTGGAGGAGAAGCTGTGGGAAGACTCTTCTTCTGGGTCTCCTATTCAGGAGGGGAGAGATTTTCTAGGAAAAGGGAGATTTCTGAGTCAGTAAAAAGGACTCAGATGATCCCCTGGGTCTGGCATACAAAGGAAAATACCTCGGAAGTGGAACTGCTTAGAAGATTGGGGAACTGGGGAAAAGTGGCCCCTCGCTCACAGACCAAAGTATGAAGCCATGAAGGAAGCTGGGCTGTTCTGTCATAACTAAGTGAGGGAATGAGAGAGAAGCAGCAGAAACAGAGTTAAGCCTTTTAGCATTTATTCTGGATACCTGAAGTGTAACAACTGATGTTGAGAGGAGGGAGTTTAAGAGAAGCTGTGCCTGTACAGTGGTACCTCGGGTTAAGTACTTAATTTGTTCAGGAGGTCTGTTCTTAACCGGAAACTGTTCTTAACCTGAAGCACCACTTTAGCGAATGGGGCCGCCGAAGCACAATTTCTGTTCTCACCCTGAAGCAAAGTTCTTAACCCGAGGTACCATTTCTGGGTTAGCAGAGTCTGTAGCCTGAAGCGTATGTAACCTGAAGCGTTTGTAACCACAGTACCATTGTAGTACCTTGTTTAATCCTGTGACATTTAGCTGAAGTAATAAGTTAACGTCTTCCTGACAGAGGCCTTCCAGAATCTGATTCAGAGCCAAATTTGGAGACATATGTCACACAGACAATTTCAGAATGGCTGGGAGAAAGCAAAGATTGGTTGGATGGGCTTTCAGGGAGCTGTTTCAGAATTAGATCGCGTGAAAATTGAGAACGGAGGCACCCAGGAGATGTTTTATTAACACTAGTAACAAAAAGAGTGAAGGACGCAATCCTTCAGAACAGTTTTTGAAAAAAATCTTGTGGTTTCCGGATAGAAAGTAGATATCTTTAGAGAGATTCCACTGAAATTGAGACTTAGAAGAACCAAATATAGATATTTAACAATAGCACTCAGGAGAGCTGACATGAGATATAAATGGGAATTCCCAGAGGGCATTTCCTTTACATACACGAAAAGGAGATACAGGCTAACATCAGAATTTCAGAGAGTCCTTTGACAAATACAGGAGTGACTTAGATTCCCACTGCTGAAAGGCACATACGGTATTCTGTTAGAATGGGAGACGAAAGACGAAGAGGTGAAATCAGTTATGATTAAATGGGCACAAGATATAGGTCATAATATTATTGTGGAAGATTGGGAAAGGTTATGGAAAACCAATTTAAAATTCACAGAGTGTTCCTTGCTGAAAGAAAATTATATGAAGATGATGTATAGATGCTATATGACACCAGTGCAGTTAGGAAGAATGAACAAAACCAGCTCAAATATGTTTTGGAAGTGGAAAGAAAGAGACGGGACTTTTTACTATATGTGGTAGGATTGTAATGAAATCAAAAAGTTTTGGGAAATGATATATAATGAGTTGAAGAAAATGTTCCAATTAACATTTGTTTAAAAACCTGAAGCATTCTTGTTAGGGATTGTAGGATAAGACCTGCCAAGGAAACTGAAAAATATCTTTATGTATGCGACAACGACGGCAAGAGCCTTAACAGCACAAGGATGGAAGAATGAGGAAATCCCGACTAAAGAACTATGGCAAGAGAAATTGATGGAAATCACAGAATTGCCAAAATTGACACACAAACTACGTGACACGGATAACTGTGATTTTAAAGATGAATGGGAACCCTTTACAAAGTACTTACAGAAGCAACAAAATGAACTGGACTCTTTGGCAGGTTTTGAATAAACATTTACAAACTTTTTATTGATAACATTTAGATAGATAATTAAGGATCTGTACAGTTTTGTAACATGCAGAAAATAGCATATGTTGATAAACCAGAGAGAGAAGCTGAGGAAGTCTGGGGGGAGGGGAGGGTGGGTCAGGTTTTTTGGAGAGGGAAAATAAGGGGGGAAAAATTAGGATGATATGTTATTTGAAAAATGTTATGTTGAAATTACTAATAAAAATATTTTTAATAACATTTTGAAAGTGATTTGTGTGTGTTTTTACAATCAAGCAGTCTGTACATTTAATGAGAAATTACAATACATTGTAACATCATATAACATAAGAAAGGAGTTATTAAAAAAAAATTATAAAATTAGTGCACTGTTCGTTTCAGGTTGTGTCTTCCTGGAGTTCACACCTCTGCTGGGTGGAGAGGAATGGTCTCTCCTCCCTTCATCCAGCTCCCAGCAGTTCTCTCAAAAAGACTTGGCACTCCAGAAGGCGAACTCAGACCCTTTATAACATGAAAACACAATCAAACAAGGAACTTACAGTGCTGCGGAAGTAGTAGTAGTAGTATTTATTTAGTAGTAGTAGTATCTGAGGTCCCCCCAGGGCGCCTGCTCAGCTGAGAGGAGGGTGTCATAGCACAGGTAGCAAATCAGCTGTTGCTCCGCCCCTTGAGGGATTCCCCGCCTCACTTAATTGGCCAAATATTCCAAAAGGGCATCACCCGCCACTATATAAACCCTCTCACCCCCCCGCAGCAGCAATGAGGTGGTACAGCTTTCGGGTGCTAAGAGTGTGTCCCTGCTTTGGGAGGGGGAACACAGCCCCCCAGCAAAGTTTGGAGGACGAGCCAAGAGGTATAGCCGGACACTGGAAGGCAACATGTTGCAGGAATTTATGTATAGTTTGGGGGGGGGTTGCCACTGCAGTAGATATCGTGCACATGCAGCCCACTACCAAAATCAGCACCATCACTTTTGTGACTTTTTTGACTGGTCCCAACAAAACACTTCATCACAGTTTCTTCCTATATTCTGCACTATACCACACACACACAATCTTTATTACGGTCCAGAGACCAACAAAACATTACAAATCAATACCAGATGTAAGAATTCACTGATAAATGTATCTATGTACTGGCTCACTGGGAAAACTTCAGAAATTCATATAATGTGAGCTCAGCTACTCAGCAGCCCCTCTGCCTGAGGGATAATCCCTGGCATCCTGATACCTGAGTGCCAGACAGGTAGCCATTCCAGAAATAACAAACCCAGAGGAAGACAAAAGGGTCAGGTTACATTCCATGGGTGTTTGATGGAAGGCAAGGGGAACCATGGGGCAGGGTCCAGGATGCTCAGATTACTGCCACCAGACCTCCCCTTTCATGATGTATGAGTGATGTAGTTTGGGGGGGGGGTGCAACATTGGGATTAGCAGCTGATAAAAGTTTGGAGGCTCTGCTGTTTGCGGCTTCCATCTTGTTGCAGCTTGCAGGTGGGAGTCCTGTCACGACAGTCTTCAAAAAAGACCAAGCCTACTGGCTGCTGTTTTGCTCTGGTATTCCTGGCTGGTGTCCTTGTTTTTTGTCCAAGGGAACCCTCAGATTTCTCCATTAACAAAACGTACCCAAAGCCTTCAAAATGTGCCCTTTCCTGCATTTTGCAGCTCAGCAATGTGTAGTCCAGGAGAGGCAGGAACAGCGTGTCTTCCTGTTCCTCCCTCAGCTGAGACCTGCCTGGATGGAGACCTGCGACCCACCTCTCAATGTCTGGAGGGCTGACCCATGGAAGAGGGAGCCAGCTTGTTTTCTCCTGCCCTAGAGGGGAGGGAGCACCCAGAAGAAGGGACCCAGAGGACCAGAAAGCAGTTTCTGCTGCCTAAAGATCTGACGGGAAGAGCAGCAGAATCCCTTGGGAGATGGCGGACTCTCCTTCCTTGGAGGTTTTTAAGCAGAGGTTGGATGCTTTGGCTGAGATTCCTGCCTTGCAGGGGGGCTGGAATAGATGACCCTTAGGGCTCCCTCCCAGTCTAGGATGAGGTTCCTTGCTTCCTGCAAACCCCCTTTTCCCTGCAACCTCTTCCTCCAGTTTCTGGCCAAGGGAGGGAGCGGATCACAGACCAACCAAGAGCGTCCCCTCAAAATGAGCATCTCTGGGATTGTGCAATGCAGGAGAGAAAAGGCAGAGAGGACTGAGCAGGGTGGACTCGGCTTTGCAAGGGTTAAAGGGAACTGAGCTGCATTCCTAGAGGGGACAGGAAGTAAAGGGGGGCCAGGTCCTCCAGAGGAAAAGCCCCTCCCTCCCCTTCCTGCAAGGGGGGGTTGCTTTCCTCTGCTGCAAAGGCTGCCTTGCTCTCTTCCACGGGGATCTGGTGAGTCTCTTCCTCCCCCCCCCCCGAGGGTGCAGTGGGGAGAGGGGGTCCCAGGGCTGCAGCAGGGGAGGGTGGCTCATGTGGGGGGGGAGCCCCAGGGAGCAGGGGGTCCAGCCAGGGAGGGACTAGGTTGCACGAGGTTTGCAACTACACTACTCTATATTCTGCATTTGTATAAAGACGCTGCTTACTCCTTTGGGAAGGGCAATCCTCTCCTGGGATCTGGTGAGTCTCCTCTCTCTCCCCCCCCCGATGTTGCAGTGGGGAGAAGGGGGGGTCCCAGGGCTGCAGCAGGGGGGGTGGCTCATGTGGGGGGAGGGGGGAGCCCCAGGGAGCAGGGGGTCCTGCCAGGGAGGGGCAAGGTGGCAGGAACTGTCTCCTTCCTTTAGATAATTTGTGGGGGGGAGGGGAGGTAACCGCCCCCCTTCCAGAAGAAAAAATATTCAGAGCCCCCTGGGAAATCTAGCAGATAGAAATCTCGCTTCTGTAAATAAGGCTATCAGTAGGACTTCTGTCCTGTGTGACACGGGTCAGGGTCATTGCACAACAGAGGAAACACGTATGAATGGTTGCTCCAAAACCTCTTCCTTTGTTTCCCTTCTTTCTTTCTCCTTATTGGCAGAGGAGGCCAGCCAAGCAGATCAAGC